AAGCTTCTGGCCACGCCTTCTTCAAAAGTGTAGCAATTTCATCTTCCGTAAAATTCACTTTCAAAAATTTTGTTCGATTTTGAATTGATCAGATATTATTAAAATGCGTTTTTATTCGTACTGCAAAGTTATTTTGCAAGTCCTTAAAATTTTTTATCTCAAATTTCAGAAATGTCTGCTGATAAATTTGAATATGCTCTTCGTTAAGACATAATTACGCAGCACGCATGCTTATTTAATTATGAATGCCAATTTGAGCTTTATAATTATTATAAGCTTTACATTAGCGACAAGTGCGAGGACAGAGGCTTCTGTTGATGACCGGCGATGCACCAGGTAACTCAGCCTGTAATTTGCTTCATTTCAGTTATTGTTATGCTTTGGATTGCTACTGTCTTGAATTATTCTAATTAAAATTTTTTGATTTATTTACTTCAGAAACCACCTTGATTGCAGTTTGTAACTTCCTCAAAATCTCATCTTCTATCGCTCAGCAATGTTAGAAAATTTTTCGCCTACTTTTTATCAAGGTCAAGAACTTGTACAAATAAAAAAAATATGAAAGTTAAATATTTCAGCTAGTAATTGTTGAACAAAAATTAAATGCCTGATTTTTTACATCTCTTAAGGCTTGTCTGATAAATGATACAAGCTGTTAAATGCTTAAGTTATGCATAAGTCATGACTTTTCCATAGCTGGAATAAAAAAGTTACAAATACATAAAACACACACATACTTAACATGTTTTGTGTACTTTTTGATTTACGTCTGACATTACTTAACGAGTTACTTTAAAAAATCGATAAGGATTTTTAGCTAAACTCTCTGAATCTTTTATTATTATTCAGTGTTGGTGCGTAGAAAGCCAGATTATAATTGCCAAAAAATTAATATAAAAGTACAGAGAAATAACTCATTTGAGTTTCAGTAGAAAAAACTTCAAAGGAACAAATGCAAACATAAAATTATTCAGACTGGCATTAGGTTTTTATCACCCTTCTTGCAAGTCCATAACAAGTAGTCCGACGAGTCGAATACTGAATGTGCCACATAACATAATAAAAGGAATTTGCTAATGTGAAACAGCAAAACTGCTTGCTTTAACTTTCAACTTACTTAATAAATTATAATGATATTTCTCTCACATCTACACTTATGCCTGAATTTTATCATATTAATTCTTGTTTGCTTTTTGCGCTTATTTGATGCGCATTGAAAGTGACAGAAATTCTTCTCTATTCAAAGCAGTAAAATTAACACAACTTTATGAACTTAATTTAATGTATTCAAAAATTTGTAAATATTTTAATGTTTTTTACTTTTTGCATTTTTTTGTTTGATCCTTTCCCTGTTCTTTCAACTTTGTAATTTAAAAAAAGCTGATAAAGTTTTATTTTTTCTTTAAATTAATTTATGGCTTATGTAAAGTTAGTAACTGAGTAACTAATTAGCACTTTTCATGTTTAATATTGACTGTTTTATATTCTTACCAGTAAAGTCAGCAATGCATGCTTACATAATGTTCAAACTCATCGTGTCACTGTATCGCAGAATCGAATATGATCTGCCAATTTCATTTTCTCTATCACAGAATCGAATACTGATTTGTTCACTTTGTTCTACAAAAATCTCGCCTTGCGAATTTTACTTGTATAATCAATAAAATCTACCGACCAAATATACAATAACAGCAGAAATGAAAAACACTAATAAGCTGCACATTTTGGAAACAATTTATGTATGAAACGATTTAATTGTGTTTGACAACAAATATTTGTTCGGTAGATTTTTTTTTAATTAAAATTTTATCAATTTCTTATTAAAGTTTGCCATTTCAACTTTTTGCAATGAATGTGAGAGAAATATAAATGCTTTATTTATGATATAAATTGAAATTCAATTCAATTCCTAAAAAAATCCAAGTTCAAATCTAATTTTCAAAAATTTTATCATTTGTGTACGCAAAGCAAAATGACTGACTTCTGCAATATTCAAATAAGTGGCAAATTGCTTTTGCAGGAAGATATTTGAAATAGTTTGGCCATCTGAACTTATTTCCTTTATTCGATTACATTTCTGATTATTTATTCTTTTGTCGCTTTTCCAGTCTTGTCATTTATTGCCTTTCTAATTACTTCTCATTGAAAAAAATTTTTTAAGTGCCGAAATTGTTTTTTAATTTTTGAAAAATTTTTGTAATAACACAAAACCATTTGCACGTGCACCGCTATTGAAAATATCACACTTGCAATGTACAATTTTTAAGCCTTTCAAAAGTGTGTATAACTAACTTTCAATACTACTTATTTGCATAAAAAGAAGAATTTCAAGCAAATAAATTTTATGCTTAATCACAATTCTTTCTTTTATTTTCCCAAAAATTGCAATCTGAATTTGCATGTATTTTCTGTAAAATATTAACACTTTTTGTTTTATAACTTGATTTGTTTCAAATAATTTTACAAATCTAAGCGAAGTTTTTTTATGATTATTAATTCTTCAATCTCAAATACATAACACATTTTTAATTCATAAGTAAAATAAAAATACTGCTTGCGAGATTGTTGTACAAAGTTATTTCGCTGTTGTAATATCCATCATATATATTCAAATTTGGGCATTGCAGATTTTATAACTTGCTTTTAAGTTCCGTATCAAACAGGGAAAGTTTATTGTAATCTCATCTGGCTAAAGGATTGCCTCCTTACTCAATTGTAAAACTCTGAACTATTCAGTTTGAAACAATTAACTTTTTGGTCAAACTGTATGAAATATTATACATTTTTTGATTCTCATTACATAGTCGTTTTAAGCTAAATTATTAATTATCTTCGAAATTTTTTTGCTGCAACTTTTACTTCATTTGCATAATTTTTATGACATGCTAATCTTATTTGCAACGTCTGTCAATTTGCAAAACTTACCAATGAAATTGAAGGTTTTTTACAAATTTAATTTAGTTCAAATTAATAAAGCCCGTTGAAAAACGTGACCTATGCGTGTAATAGTTTTGAATATAAAGCGACATTTCTGTCCTTTTTTGAGGAATATATCATATAATAGCATATTCTAATTATCTTACTTTAATTGCTTCAAAGTTTATACAAATGAATTTTTCACATGAATTTAATGGGAAATAAGAAAGCACCGGGAATTTTCGTATCTGATTCGATAATCCAGGTGCTTTTACCATGTTTACTTCAGTATCTTAGCTGCATTAATCAAAATTTCCCTCTAAATATTGCACGATTTCAAGATAGTGAAAGCATTTGGAGTGCATTTTTAAAGGCTTAATGTTATAAAATAAATCCTTTTGGCTCAACTGCTTGTTTTTCTGAAATATAATAATGACCGTAACAACTCTTTGAAGTGTTACACTTTTATTCTTAATAAGTTTGGAAGATAACATTGTGGCTAAAACTTGGAATCAGCATTTTAAAAAAGTGAAAACTTGCACAAATATTTGCTTAATAATTCAAATCAGTATTAAACTGCTCGCAATAATAATATATGTAAAATAAAATGCAAATAAATTGATTAGCCAATGCTAATTAGTTTTTTCACAATTCTGACTTTTGAGTATTAATAATTGAGGTAGACAAAAAGGGAAATAAAGCCATTTTCTTGCAAAAAAATTTTCATTTCTTTGTGTATTTGAAATATATCAAATTTCACAGCAAAATTCGCAAACTTAAGAATTTATTGTGAGAAAGACAAAAGTTGGCTTTTTCCAAATTAATAAATAATATTGCATGAAATTTCTCACCAGTTTCGAGCCACCACTATCGTTTCTTCTCACTTTTCAGCCATCTCTACTACTTTGATGGCATTTTATATTTTATGAGAAAAATTAGCATTTTTTTTGCAATCAATTTGGCTACTTTATGGCATGGCTGTGAACGACAATTTATTTCTGTACTTCGAGTTTGTTCAACTCTTTTACTTTTCTGTAATATTTGTCCATCAATTTCACGTTTCTAAATGCTGCTTTCAGTTTATTGGACTGTAATTATCAACTATCAGTTTAAAATAATCCTCAAAAAGTAGTGCTTCGAACTGAGATTAAAATAAATTTGGAAAGCTACCAAAAATTAAGTTATACAAATTCATAGAACAACTGAAATCGCAACTGTTATTAAAAATGTGTAAGGTTGAATGCTTGCTCATAAAGCGGAAAAGTACATGTCTTTAATTTATATGCAAAAAAGTGAGAAATTTTTTTTCAGCTTAGAAATCCAGCAAGTTTATTCCATCCAAGCGCATTTTTACATAATTTAGTAGCTGATGTAATGCTCATTAAGTATTCTTATGAAGAAAAATCTCATCTCACTAACCTTATCATTTCATAGCTTCAACTCACTTCAACTCTTTGCATATAGTAAAGTGTTATTTCAGTTATTTGAAAATTCACAAATTACTAATATATTTCCCGCATTTATTCAATTTTAGTACTGCCTAACGTCTTTCCACTTAATCTGTTATCCAAATTAATTTTAAAAACAACTTTCTCAAATAATAGTTCCAGAGATTGTTGGATCTTTATATGATGCTTATGAGGAAAAAAATAACTTTAAATTTGAAAATTGCTCTCATAAGAGAATTTCAATGAAATTTATTGATAGAAAGCATGCGATCAAATTCACTCTTCAAACATTTATTAGAAATTCAATGAGTTCACTGGAGTGCAAATGAAATCCAGAGAAATTATGCTGAAAATATAAATTTACAACTTTTTTGAAAGAGGTCACTGCGCCAAGTAATTTCCGACTTTTGCTCGCGTTTTGAATCCGACTTTATTAGTGCAGTGATAATAATTATTGTTATTATCATTTTTAAAAGGTAAGAGTAGCAAAAATGACTGAAGTCATTATTGATAACAACCGACTAAACTCATAGTCTGGTTGATCCGTACTGATAAGAAAAATGACAAAATGACAAGAGCACAAATACTGAGAATCTTCATCATTCTTCTTCTATAAAGATTATTTTATTAGAAAGAATGGTTACAATGTACATGTGGATTGTACCTTATTTCTATCAGTTTGTGATGGTCTATATAGCCAACATTCAAAAGCTCCTAAAAGATCAAAGTTAATTCTATTAATTTAAAATTAGAAAAATCACTGATTGCCATTATTTTGTATGAGTCAGTTAAACAAGGATAATAATTATTACTACCAGTAGTAAGAATTTTGATTTTAAGAATGAGATCAAGTTTTTTCAAGTCATAAAGAATATTTGATCAAAGTTCTCATAAAATGAGAACTTTGATCAAATATTATATTCATTAAAGTGTTTGCTTCAAAAATTCAGCATAAATTCTCCCGCTAATGATATTTTTGTACAGATTTTGCAGTACAGAAGTAAAATTTTAGTCATAAAAAATTGTTGTGTCATTTTGAAGTCAAAATTTTAGCATTAAAATACTGATATGAATTAAAATCAGCTAAAATTTTGTCTTCAGAGCATTAGTAATTCACTTCTTTTTCAAGCTTTATTTTTGAAACAGGACAAAACTAAATCCAAGCAAAGAATTTTGTTTTAGATTTCAGTTTGATTTTGGAGGCAAATTTTAGCTTCCGTCCGAGTTACTACTGTATTTGAAAAAATTTTTTATATTTTGTAAATAAGTACGTACATCCTCTTATTTACTGTTTTAATTGGCCAATCCCTTGCTATCACTTTCATTAAATAAGTAACTGTTTGAAAATATTTTTACATCGCAAATCTGTCAATCGATAATTTTAGGAATTCGATTAACTTAGGACATATCATTAATGTATTACTAGAAAATTACGATATTCATTTGTTACCTGTAAAGGAACGAGTCAATGTTACAATTGAATTGCACGTACAGGTGAGCAAATAATACTTGTCATAAATTTTTGGTAATCACTTTGTTCAGTTGATTGATTAATTTGAATTTCATTATTGAAAAGCTTTTGGATATAGTAAATCAAACGATAAGATGGGCTCAAAATAAATAAATTTATTTTTTTAAACGGATAATTACACAGCGAAAGTGATGACTTAATCATATTAAAGATAGAAGGACTGTAAAAACTATTAATTTCACGACTTATTATTATTAAAGCGCAAGAGAAAATCCATGAGTGAATTTGGTAAAGAGCACTAATAGACAGAATAAGTATAGACAGAATATACCAGTTATTATGTACTGTATTTTGTTTTATGGTCAAAATCAAAACTGCCTCTTTCTATGTGGTGATAATAATACTTTAATAAAACAATTGACCCCAAAAAAACTACTTGAGAACACTTCTCAGAGATCCAAATTTAAATGTGATAAAAACCATTGTTACAAGTTATCAACTTTGCGTTTAGCAATCATATACAAGCAAGTAGTATATTCTAGGGCATTTCGAGAATCTCCGAAATAACTGGTGATTTTGAATTAGATTTTATGTATAGCGAAATCTGGGAAGATCCACGCTTAAGTTTCAAACATTTAAACGTTTGCACAACGAATATCACATTGAAAAGCGATTTTCGCAAAAAAATTTGGACGCCTGATACGTGTATCATTAACAGCAAAGATGCCGCTGTGCACAGTTCACCATCTGAAAATACTTTTATAATCCTGTATGAAAACGGATTGGTTTGGAGTAATTTCAGGCCAGTTTTCAGCTTTTGAAATTTACTGTTCATAAAAAAAACTGAGTGAGCTTTGTTTGTTTTATTTTTTTCTGAAATTTTTTGCTCAGTGTGTCCAACGATTTAGAAAAAAAAAGCCCATTACTTTGTATTTACTCTCTCACTTCTAAATACTACCTCATTCGATGATTAGTTGTTAATATTGCAGAATTGTACAATCTGCTTCAATACTAATTCTGAATGGTAATTATTCAGCTCATTTAAATCTTAGCTTTTTCGCACTAATCTCATTCAGAATTCCTTCAATTTCATTTCAGGATAAGAAAGAAAAATTAAAACTGAAAAAGCATTTAGTGACATACTTTGATATATGTGAAGTTTGGATAGTTGCCGAACTTTCACTTTTCAACGAATGAAATTAGTATTAGTTTATTATTTATAAAACAATCTGCAAAAAATTTGACCATTTTTAGATTACACTTATATACTGTGTAATCAGAAATTTTGTAATGGCACTTTATGAAATACATACCTTAAAAACATAACTATCATTATGTTTTGGAAATGTAAGACAAAAATCACTGAGTAAGGAGAGATTTCTTTACTTTCGCATAATTTTTTGCCTAATTAACGTAATCCAATCGATGGAAATTTTCTCACGCAAAGATTAGCAAATAAAATTTATTCAGTTTTTTACAAACTATTTGAAAGAGAATGTAAGCAAAAATGAAATATTTCCAAGCAAAATTGCTTATACGAATTGGCAAGAAAATTTGAAAGTTTGTGCGGTGCGAACAAGTCAGACAACTAAAATAAGACAAAATTTCGTGAATTAATTTGCATTTTCTTCATAAAAAAGTAATTTAAAAATTTCAGAATGAAAGTAAAAGCACCTTGTAAAATGGATTTGAAAATGTTTCCATTCGACTGGATCTATTGTCAACTTGTGATCGAAAGTTATTCGTTTAACACAGATGAAGTGCGATTAGTCTGGCACCAAACACCAGTAACAATGATGGACCAAGTTGAGCTACCTGACTTTGATCTGATTGGTTGGATCACTGATCATCAGAGATTGGGATATCCAAATGGTGATTGGGATAGGGCACAGGTCATCTGGCTTACACACTTGAAATGAAATAGGAGATTATGAAACTTAAACGTTTATTCATTATATTGTTATTTCAATCTAAAAAGTCAGTAAGATTTAAAGAGCTGACTTGCATTCAATCTGCAGTTTCCTACTTCAGAGATGATAAGACTGATATTTGAATGATAAAAGACTGTTAAATTCAGCAACTGATAGTAGTACATGCCTCAAAATTTTGCAAGTTTTTTAAACTTATTATACACACTATATCAAATGTGATTCATTCCTAAAGTAAATAAATTAAATTCAGAAATGACAGAAACTTTTTTCAAACTATTATGAATGGAAGGAACTGTTGAGCAATTTAGACAGAAATCATAATGGAATTTGAAAAATAATAACAATATTATTTCTTCTGAATAAGTAAGCATTTTGAATAAAGCGCACTCCTTCGTTCTTTTTCATGACTACTGACTGAAGCATTCTGCGAACTCATTACACATTAGTAAAATTGGAAAAACACAATCGAATCTGACCAAAAAACAACAATCAAAAGGTGTCTTTGGTGAGGTAAAAAAATAATAACATAAGCAAGCATCATGAATGCCAGAAAATTTGATTTTACATCACAAAAGTCAATTTTAGCATACATATCTGAATAGAATGTCTGACTATCTGAACACAATTTAGTGGTTTTGCAAAATGAACTCAAAGTTTGAAAAACTTCTAAAATTTTAAGTATGAAAACTAAACGTAACAAACTTCAAAAAATACTCAAATTTGTTCAATAAAAATAAGAACAAACATATTTTTGAGGATAATACAGCGTAATCA